AGAGAGGTGGCCCTGAAACCATCGAAACACTTGAGGAAGCTCCTAGGGGAACTGTCAGACCCTCTGTGGCCCTGACCTTAAGCTTTTGATTCCTCCGTGGCCCAACATGCTTTGCAACCTTGAGTCTTCCAGCCGAGCTGGCTTTACCCCAGGACGGCCCATCTCCAGCAGCTCCACATAGGTCTCTATCCTATTCTGGGGCTTCTAGTGGTAGGGAAGCAAGGAGATACCTCTTCTGGGAAGGCTGCTGGTGAGTAGCAAGGGACAGAACAGATGCCAACAGGATTCATCCTGAGCCTTCTTGCTGTTCTTCAACCCGAAGCAGAAACCTTTGCCACTCATGCTCTGTCCATACCCTTCTTCCTTCCAGAGCTGTTATGGGCTCTGCTTGTCCTCATCTTTCTCCTTCACGGTCCATGTGTTCATGGCCGGTGGCGGCACATGCACTCTGGAGGCAGAGGCAAGCGGATCTCTGAGATCCAGCCTGGTCCAGAAACCTCCAAGACGGCCAGGACTACATGGAAACTACCTCGAAAAATCCACATGTACAAATGTTGTCTGTCTCCTGTTATTACTAAGGAAGACCTGAAATTCAAGGTGTGTGTATGCCTAGGGAGAAGGTTCCTACCAAAGCATCAGATGTCTTAACACAGGCAGTGCCTGGATACCATCTGGAGACAGGTCGTGATTGGAAAAGAAAGAGCTAGCCACCTTAGTTCCGGATCTATATCCTAAGAGAGTGAAGTCAGTATGTGGAAAAGGTATTTGTGCTCCTGTATTCCTCACAGCCCTGTTCACAATAGCCATGGTAGAGAATCAACCTGAGTGTCCATCAGTGGCTGAGGAGAGAAAAGGCATCTGGTATATATGTCTAACATAATCCTACTAGCCCTGAAAAGGGTAAATTTGCAATAAGCGACAACCTGGGTATTGTGTTAAATGAAATAAACGAGGCACAGAGCTGAGAGGTGGATCTCTGTGAGTTTGAGTCCAGCCTAGCCTACAGAGCAAGTTCCAGGGCAGCCAAGGCTACACAGAGAAATCCTGTCGGGGGGGGGGGGGAGCGGAGCACAGAAACAAAAAGTTCATATATGAACTCTAAAACCGTTACACTCGAGCAAAGCAGTGAACGGGAGGTGGGCTGTTTCCATCACGAGCACACACAGACTGGCATCCAAGCTCCAACACCAACCTGCAGTGGCCATGGAAGTGCAGAGAAAATAGAAGAAAGTCTTCCTGAAAGCCCCTGTGGGCTAGTAGAGAACACAACATTCAGGAAACTTAACCTGTCATTGAAGTAAACCCCCTGAGCAGCTGCTGCCTCCATGGAAACTCAGGGTAGCCCCAGAATCGAGGCTGTGGGAGAACTAACTGGGGACCAAGAGATGATCTGAAGCTTCACCACAGCAGTGAGAACAGAGGCCAGCCACGCCCTTGTTAAGGGTAGGAACTGAGGGAGAACCTCCACGACCGCACCCCAACCTCACCACATCCAATAGCCTTGTTATTAGCAACATAATGTCCGCAAGCAGGCAAGAACAAGTGCATAGAATGAAGGCCTATGAGGAAACAGAGTTCAGGGTAGCTGTAAACAATGCCAACTTGCTGGGCTCCCTCCCCACTGCGCAGGCACACTAGAACTCTGCGGGAGAACAACAGCTCATGGGAACCTGCCAAACCTAGCTGCAAGTGAGAGACCCTCATCACTGCAAGGCCAAGTGAAACTTTACAATCCCCCAGGATCAAGCAGAGGGTGAATCCCATGCAGCCCTGAGGAAAGGCTGGGGCCTGGAACCTCTTGTCACCCTCCATTAGTGGCTGCTCTGCGGTTTGCCAAGCACACAAAGAGGGAGAGTCATTTCTGGTCAACCACGAGGTCTCTAAAGAAGAGGTAGGTGCTGCCTGAGGTATGGAACTCAGGCCAAAGAGTGAGCAAGCTGGGCGGGGAGCCTGCCGGTGGCTTTGTCCTCTCTGCTCTTAGAAACGACAAATATGATTTGAAATGTTTGTCTTCCTTATAAAATCCCCCTTGTTTTAGGTGTGCCTTCAGAGATGTGCCTTCTCAGGATGGTTGCCAAGTTTTCAAAGTCGTCGTTGGAAATCATCCAAATCTGGGCATTTCTTTTCTTCCATACTAAAATTGCATACGCCTGAGATTAACATTAAGATGCTGTTCATTTTCGCCTCTCCTGGCTCGACATGCGATTCTGAACAGTCTGAAAGGCCAGAGGTGTTTCTTCCTTTATATCTCTGAAATGTTTAAAGTGAAAATCTGGGAAGCATGGTTGTCCCTTGGGCTGAGCTTGGAGTGTATGTTATATACCCTGTACTATTTTAATTTGCCTCAATGTGGTTTTGTGAGCATTTGAAAAGGAGGCAGAATCCCAACACAGGACTCAATTCTTCCCCTGAAACTTGTGACCCTAGGAAAACCTGCAGATGTGAGAATTGTGTGTTGTATGGGGGGTCACGCAAAGCTCCCAAGATAGGCAATTCCCTTAACTGAACACTGCCCGTGTGACTTTGTCCTGTCATTAGGAACAGGCAATGCTAAGAACCAAAAGTCTGTTTCTGGTTTCATAGTAGAGTGCTGAGAAGTCCCAGGAGGATGATGGGAGACTGGCCTAATAGGTCAGAAGACCCAGGAAGCCCTCCCCTAATCACTACGCAGTCTGTGTTCAGGAACATCTCCAGAGCTGGTGCCCAGGAAAGAGGTGGGCAGCCACTGTTAGAAAAAGGGTGAGTATTTTCTAGAAGTGATAACTAAGAGGAAAGAGCAGCTTTGCTGGAAGAAAGGTAAGGACGGGTCTAATATGACGTACAGTCCTACAGACCAGGAACCTGAACTAGTTTCTGTGGGTGAGCTAACAGGAAAGTTCTTTCACACCTAAAAAAAGCATGGGCTACTGGTCCAAATGTCCCCTGAATGTTGTTTTCTCATCAAACCATTCTGAGCACGAGCCTAAACTGCTTCTCTATCCCCACAACAAACAGAGCCCCAGGGTTAAATGTACCACGGGACAGGCACCATCAACAGGCGATGTCTGACTTGTCTACCAGGATCCTGGGGAGCTAGATAGAATGTGACACCCTCCTATGGGACCTGCTAGGTTAGGAACGAGCTATCTACTCCTTCATTACTAGCAGTATGTCCTATCAAGACAAATGAGAGCTGTCACCCCACCATAAGGGCAATCTCAAGTTTCATGTGTGTTCACACAGGCGGGACAGACACATTAAGGCTCCCAGAAACCTTGATAGTTTCCAGAAGGGAGTTCCTACAGGCTAGCCCACCTTCCAACACTTCACACTTCTTAAGCCAGAGTCACCCGCTGTCCTGTGCCCACCCATGTGGTGAGCCCCTCCCATATATGTTCCTAGTACTCTCTTGGCTGGAAGGACGTGGCATGCTTCTCAGTGCTCTGTCTCGTTGATCTGAGGGTGTGCAATGTAGTTAGTTCTCCTCTTGTACTTAACCTCTTCATGCCAAAGCCTTAATCATCCAACCACAGCTGGAATGAAAGCCTGACCTAGGGTCAGGTGGCCAGGTGCTTTCAACTCTCAATGCAACCAAGGCATGGCGGAGCTCTCTGCCACCCTCAGCTGCTCAGAGATGCCCACAAGTCACAAAAGATGCCACAAAGCTGCAGTGTCTACTCTGCTCTCCCTTGGCTCCGTGGGTTCAGGCCGTCTGTCTGTCTCTCAGACCTCAGTCTGAGAGCTAGCAGTCAACACCAGCCACCATCATCACCAGAGCCGCTGGGAAAGCCTGGGAGAGAAGATTCCTGAGCCGGGTCTGGAAGGAGGAGCAGGAACTGATTCAGGAGTTCAGGGTTTGTCCAGAGTTGGGTAAAGACCCAGCAGAGTGTATGGGAATTGCCCACCAACTATCTCTCATAGCCTGGAGATCTCCTGATTTCTCTTACCCTCAAGACCAGAGCCTGGCACTTGTTGAAGTGCCCATACAATATTGCTGAAGGTGCCCTGTGCTTGCCCTGCCCTACGGGAAGCTGCACTTCATTCACTCCCTAGGCTTGGGCATGTGTCTTCGAGACCACACACCATTCCTAATAGAAAAAGGAGCCCTAGGTGTCAAGTCATCTGTCTACCCAACCAAAAGACACCATGCCATATAACTCCCCTGTGGTCGAGGACATTCACCACAACCTGATCTGCCATACCAGCCACTGCTCTACCCCACCCTATCTACTCCATCTCTGCACGACTTTCTCCTCTTCCTCCCGCAAATGACTAGACAACGTCTTTCATAGGCATTTGGCATGATACGATGTAGGGTGACAGTCACCTCTTTGCACAGCCATCTCCAGGGCCAGGCACAGTGGTTGAGAGCACATCTCAGCAAAGGGCCTGTGTCTAAGGGATGGGTGACCTAGCATCCTGTATCTGCGACACGTTTCCTAATTCCTCCAATCAAATTCTCCCCATGCCAATGCCTTGCTCAGGCAAATGTGTAACACTCTTTTTATCTACGAACCTTGCCAGTTGCCTACCATGGGCTAGCTGTGACCACCACACAATCTAACAATGGCACAAGTGCCCAGCTTGGTACAGATGACTTCTGGAGCATTTTCTCATGCATCTCTGTATCCAACGCATATGGACAGCAGACTCAGCGACATTTAATGACAGCAAGTTCAAGATAACACTGCTGATAAGTGGAAGAGAAAGGATTCAAACCCAGACTGTTTGGCTCTCCCTAAGGCTTTGCCTGTGGTTTTATGGCCCCTTTCCCAGCCATATTTGCAAGAAAGCAGGAAGATCTTCATTTGATGGAGTTATTGCTGACTCTAAAAGTTAACGTTCAACCCTGGACAGTGGCTTTTCCTTCTCTAACCACTGAGATCACTACAGCCCTCAGGGCTACACATTGACATGTCCCTGCAACTAGTCACCTAATTCTCTGGCTTCTTGAAGGGCTGGTTTATTGTCCTATTGGGAGGGGCTGACTGTACTTAGGAGACCTCTAGGGCAGGGAAGCCTTGCCTATGGGGGAACGCCTCTCTCTGTCACTCTATAAATGTCTTCTGCAGCCAAAAGGAGGCCTTCTGTGGCGCTGCTCCCTCCCTAGCTGTGAGACTCCAGCTATTTCACCATGAGACTTCTAGCCCTTTCCAGTCTGCTCTGCGTGCTGCTTCTCTGGTTCTGCATTCTCTCCTCAGAAGGTAAGGCTGCCCTCTGGGCTCTAGTCCCTGAGTAGTGATCCCATGGTCTGGGAAGGTTGCAAACAGGAACTAATGGGGATCAGGTCCCAGCAGACAGTCCTGAACCCTGGAAAGAACTCCACAGATATTTTCTTTACCACAGTGGCCAACAGGTAGCTTGAGGACTTCAGGCTTTATAGCTTCTAAGTGCAATCCTACACTCCCAAGCATGCTGAGGGTCTGTCTACTGTGTAAACTAAGGGTTTGGGCATGAGATGTATAAATTAAGGAGTTTTGACACAACACATATAAACTGAGGACACAACTGGTCCAAGGTATGGTAGAAAGGAAAGTTTTTATTGTAAGTGCAGCCAGAGGCATCTAGGAGAGTCCAGAGTAGAAAGAGGAAGTAGCAAACTGAATACGGCCAGCAGAATTGACCTGGTCATAAGAGGAGAGAAGGGAGAGGGAGAGAGGAAGACAAAGGAAGCCAAGAGAGAGGACAAAGGAGAGACAGAGTGTCTGGCTGAATTGGCAGGGTTATGTGAAATGGAGAAGCTGGGGGAGGGAAGCCTGTTTAGGGTGGGGGCAGGGCAAGAAGAACCACGGTAGTTGTTACACACTGAGAGAGCCTGGAGGCTGGTATGTGTTTGGTATGTCGATAGAGGCCACCACAGCCAGTTGTCCCTTCTGAAAGTAATAAGAAAATAGTTCCTTTGCTTGAGGAAAACACGCAGAGGAGCTGAATTTGCATTACTACCTGACACCTATATGAAGCTGGGTGCTTACCAACAAACAGAAGTCTTCTCAAAGAGCTGTTCACTTACCTGAGTCTTGACTGTGGAGTCAGGCGACCTCTGTTGCCACTTGTGTTGTGTTGGGGACAAAGTAAATGAGTATCTCAAATCCATATGCAAGGAAAGCTCCATGGACAGATGGAATGAGGTTATGCATTATAGGGGGATATGAGTTTGGGATGTAGCTGTGTGTTCCGATGCAGGAAACATACATGATCTTTCTGTTCCTGTAGAGATGAATATCTCTATCTCTGCCTTTAGGGTGTATTTGATTTAAATGCCTATGTGTGGATGTGCCACACGTGTGCAGGTGCCCTCCAGGCCAGCAGAGGGTGCTGGAGTCCCTGCTGTTGGAGTTAAAGGTGGTTGCAAGTCACTCAAATGAGTTTTTGGAACCAAATTTGGGTCCTGTAGAAGAGTAGTAAGAGCTCTTAAAACCCAAGTCCCCTTCCTATCACCTTACTGTTTTCTTCCTTCTAAAAGCTGAGTATTGGAGCCTTTTTCTCATCCTTAACCTCCAACTACTTTCTTCCCTCACCTAACTGACCTCATCCTGTTTTTGTTTGTTTTGGACAGTGGTTGCTTGTTTTTAATAATGTCCTTGTTTGTTTGTTTTGCTTTGTTAGTTTATTTTTCAACACAGGGTTTCTCTGGGAAGCCCTGACTATTTTCACTCTGTAGACCAGCATGGCCTCGAACTCAGAAATCTGCCTATCTCTGCCTCCCCAGTGCTGGGACTAAGGGAGTGAGCCACCATTGCCCAGCTTTTAGCAAGTGTTCTTGAACTCTGGATCTTGTGAGTGGAAGCCCTCTCAAGTCATCCCCGTACAGATCGGAATGACGGTGGTCCTGGCCTGCTAATTAGAAGATCTGTATTCTTTTACTTCTCAGGGAGGAGGCATCCCCCCAAGTTCTCAAAATCCAGGCTCTGCTGCTACCCTTTTCCTAGATCCAAACAGCTAAACCGGAAAGGTAAGTAACGTCATCCTGTGTGGGCTGGGAGTGGGAAGATTTCTAGGGTGGTCATGGGACAGGCCAGATCTGTGATCAGCCCCAGCCAGTGCCTTGTGTCAAATTCTAGCGCAGAGGAATTACATTCATTCTCGGTCATGCAGAGTTTAGAGTCTTCTGAAGAGGCAACAACTAGGCCATTTACAACTGAACACTTTCTGTCAAGAAAAAACTCTTAAGAATGGTATAGGGACCCGGCATGGTAGCAAATAATCTCAGAATTTAGAGAAGCTAACAAAAGATGATGATGAATCCTGAGAGCAGCTGCACAATGAATTTAAGGCTCGAGAGCTCGGGGATATGGCTCAGTCAGTGGAGGAATGCTTGCCTAGAAAGTTCAGGGTCCTGAGTTCAATCCCCATTTGGAAGAAAAAGAGAAGGAGAGAGGAGAGGTGGGGAAGCACCCATCCCTGGGTGGGAGGCCTCGGGGGGAAGATTGGGAACCTGAAAGCAGATGGTAGAAAATAGGAACAGGGTACAGAGGAAGCGGCAAGCAAAAAGAGCAGAGACAGGGGAAACTACAGAATGGGCGCGGGGGGGGGGGGTGCCCAGACCATCTGCAAACCATAGCCCTCCAGTAGACCTGCGTGAGGGTCTCCAGTCAGTGTGTGAAGTATATGGGGTGCAAAAAACTCCAGTTTGGCAGGAGAAAAACAGCACCCAGAGATGTAGACAGGCACACTGAGGCTCAGTTTGACACCAGCATGGCCATGATCAGTATGAGGCCTGGAAGAGCCAAACTGCCCTCTCCCAGACCCGAAAAAGATAACAATGGGTAGTGATGAAGATAGGCCCAGGTCCAGACCTCTAAGCTCGCAAATCCCAGTACTGTGACTCTAGGCCAGCTGCAGGCTGAAACTCTTGAGTTGCTGGCCCAGGATGGGTAGTTAGCATGGCTGGAACTTTGTGACTTTTGTACAGAGAGTCTTAGAGCTGAGAGCAGGCAGAGGCCTGTGGGAAGGCTTCAGAACTCCAGATCAGACATGGCCTAACTTTAATGGAGGGCCCGTGTCTCAGCTCTCCACAAGTGCTAGTTCTTGGGAGTCCAAGGCTACTGCAGGCAGTAGCACCTGAAGGCCATGACCTAGACTCAGAGTCCTGTCTTCCAAGGACTGTGTCTTCCAGGGACTTCCTGACTTCATGTGAACAAAGAGGGAGACAGAATAAGGAAGACAGGATAGTTCCAACCTCCATACCCGTGAGAGTCTGAGAGCCCCTCCTCCACACTGCCATCACACCCAGTCAGGGCTGGGTAAAAATAACCACTTCTCTCACACATTCCTCGTGAATAACTAAGTGTGAGGCACCCGCCTAGGCAAGGTGGAGGGTGAGCACTGGTTGCCAGCAGCTCTGCTTCCCATGGGAGTTTGTGAAATAAGGTGCAAATGGAGGGGAGAGAGGTGCCACCTCCCCACTGAGGGTGGCTTGCTAGAACCTGTCGTCCCCTCTAGCCCCTCCCTGTACAGATACACAGAGGCAGAAGAGCAAAGAGAAACTGGGGAGAAGAAGGGGGTCACACGCATTCTACATACCCACATACCTACAACTACACAGATGCAAGTACATGCATTCAAACACATGCACACCACGTAATTACACACTACACACACAAACCTACACACACCACACTGGCTGCAGAATCCAGCCTGGTGTTGAGAAATTGGTAGGGTTGTATCCATAGAGCAGACAGCATCAGGGCAAGCCCATGACACCCTGTAAACGTGTCATGCTGTCACAATGGAAGAGGCTGGGCTTCCAGAGTAGATGCACCCACCCCAGAGCCCATGAGTGTTGTATATATTTGTGTATAAAGTTGCATGACACATAGGTGCTGTGTATGTAGTATTTGTGTATGCATCTATGTCCGTGTGTGTGTGTATACCTCTCCTCCCTCCAGCTTCTCTTTTTTCTCCTGTCTCTTCACTGCTGCTGATTACCCAATACCTAACCCAGAGAACGTTGCCCAGGCTTGCTGCTTCCACCCAGCATCTCCCAGAACAGACCCTAAGATCCAGAGAGAAAGAATGAGATGAGTCAGGGTGTTGGGCAATCAACAGCAGGATTTCAGGGTGTTCCGTGTTGCTGTTGATTAGTCTCCTCTGCCTGGTTCATAGACTTGAGAGAACTTTCCACTCTCTATGAGAAAGGAAATTTGCATCAGCTGAGACAATAGAGGCACTCAGAGTGGCTACTGCTCATCCAAAAACCTGAGCTCTGCTTTGCCCTGAGCCCTGATGTGCAAGGCTTGGATTCTGGGTGGAAGTAACACAAACAGCTTTGAAAGTTAGCAGGATAAATGAATGGCAGTCTGGCAGATGTGACTGCATTTACCAGCTTACTAGAAGGAGATGAGACAGAGTTTCCCTAAAGCAGTTTTGCAAACTGTAGAGCAGCCTACATAGGAACACTGTCCAGGCAGCACTTTCGAATGGCCCATCAGTACACCGATACAGTGGGCTGCTGAGGGGCTCAAACAATGGCCGGAGTCAGATGCTTAGCTTCTCAGACCCCACCAAATCAAAGTTAGGATCTAAGAGCCTTTGTTAGGCCACCTGCCTTCTACGTGCCACAAGGTGACCAGAGGCAGCTTCTGGGAGGCCATATGGACCCAAGACAAGCCCAGGTCCTGAGGATTTGTGCTACACTACCTGTTTCAAAGCTCAACAAAATGAGTTAACCCACAGGAGCAGACTTGGGGTAGGATTCTAAAGACCTCTCTCTCTCTCTCTCTTTCTCTCTCTCTCTCTCTCTCTCTCTCTCTCTCTCACACACACACACACACACACATACACACACACACACACACACACACACACACACTACCCCCGCCTGCCATGCAACTGTCTCTGTCTTTAAAAAGGGGATTTAACTGCGGTGATAAAGGTCATCCACTGGGGAAGAGGGATCACTTGAGGATCTTAAGATAGCAATATCAGGGTGGACATGCAATAAATAAACCCAGAACAATAAACCCTAGGAAGGAGATGGTGGCTAAAACAGGCAATTCTACTGCCAAGAGATCCAATTAGAGGAAACAGTTTCCTGATCCTTGTAATTCTATTCATTAGCCTTGACTACGCAAGAAGTTGTCCTCACCGTGGGAAACCAAAACAGTAAGTATAGTTTTCAGTGAGTTTGCATGTCAGATGAGTGTGTCTTTCATCATAGCCAATCATATTCATTTGTTTATTCATTTGCTCACTTGCATATTTGTGATAGCCTCCTGGGATCTTATTTGTGCTTATTGCATGAGGTTGAGGATGAATAGGGTACTTAAAGTTTGATTTCACTAATATTTACATCCACTAACACTTCTGATTCTTGCAAGACTCCTGATAATTCGCTACTGTTAAGGGTTCATATTTTTATGAATGAGGGGCCAAACAGCAAAGAAGTTTCAGAAAACTTGTGGAAGGTCTAGTCAGCTGAAGGCTAGTTAATATTTCAGGCTTTGAATCCAAGCAGTTCAGCCTCAATGTCCATGCCATTAACCTTCGTACTACAATGCAGATAGGAATAAACCTGAAACACAAAGAAAAATAATCTCACTGCCATTACTTGATAACCCTTTTAGTTCTCACTCAAATAACTTTTGTTCAATGTTATTTTAATTAATGCTAGAAAGGGCTCTGTAGATTCCAGAGAGGGCAGTAAAATCCACTTATTTGATTTCTTTAAACTCTTTTGTGTAAGAATGCGCCTTAACTACGACTTCTTCTCTTCACCCTATCCTATCCACTTCACTTTGCCTTCCCATGCCCCTTCTTCTTGTCGGCTGTCTCTCATCACCAGGAAACTACACCAGGATCTGCAGACTCTGCAAAAGCAAGCCACCATCCAAGTCCTGGGTGGTACCCGGTGCTCTCCCACAGGTATAGAGCACCTGAAGCATAGCTGCCCCCTGATGACCTTCATGCCCAGCTGTGGAGACACCAGAAGACTTGATTTGTCCCCTGCCAATTTTCATGGCACCAGTGAATTGTAACACTGGGAGACTTCACTTCAGAGACCCAGGAACATTCCAGAATTCTCTACATTCTGGTTCCAATGGTACCACCAACCTTCAGAGTCACCATGATCTAGGCTCAGCCCACATGTCTTCGTGGCTCCTGCAAAGTGAAAGTCAAAGATTCCTCCTGTGGGAGCTACAACTCTAGAGATTTCAAAGGTGGCCAGAGTACAGAATAGCAAGACCTCTATGTGATCAGCCAGGATTACAGCGTCTCAGGCACACACAGACAGTCCCAAATTCCTAGCCTTTAACCAATGGTCTCCGAACCAACTCCTGTAACTTCCTGATGTTCATCATCAGGAGAGCATCAAAAATAATAAATTGGCATACATACTATGCGTGGAGCATCCTTGTCTGGAAAAGTAATGTGGCCTGAACTACAACATTGTGCTAAGAGGAAAGTGTCTGGAATAGCTTGGTGGCTACTCCATCACAGACCAGTCTTACAGTAAGAAAGAGACAGTAGCTCAAACACAGAGCCCAGTCTTTGGCCAGGTTTCTCTGTAGGCTTGACAGTCCAATTTTCTGTAAAATAGACATGAGAGGAGCAAGCAGCCAGGGGTAGAGTCCCTGCAAAGTGCTAGGCTTAGAAAGACCTAGCAAATGCCCCATCCTGGAGCAGTGTTTATCTCCACAGTGAGCAAAGAGCTCAAAGGAGACAGGTGGCTCAGGTCTAAGAGGCTTGTCTCAGTAAAGCTCCTTCTAAGCGGATTCTCCCAGTAAGGTGACAAACCCCCTTTCCTGTATTCCTGCCAGGCCTGTGTGAAAACACCAGGCCCATCAGGTGTGAGTCTGATAGGCAGAGCTTCTCTGGGGACAGAGCCTGTGTCTTGTCATGGGCCAGCTTTCCACCTCCCTTTCATAGCTGTCCCCTTCCTCCTTCCCTCCTGCCCCGCTCCACTTACCTATTCCTAGGGAGAACAGATGCGGTACTGGGTCCCAAGACTCAAAGAGCAAGGCCCTCTGACATCTGAGAGGAAGAACGTGAGGTGACAAGTTAAGAGTCCATTCACGGTGCTTTCATACCCTCTCAGGAGCTCCTCGTGACTGAAATCTCTACCTTCTTGGCAATGGGAGGGCTGTTAGCTTCTGTTTCTCATCCTATATTCCCTCCATTCTCCCTTGAAAGAAACAATGAAACCCACATAGGACTTTATCCGCCTACTTGGCTCTACTAGGAGAAAGAAAGATAAGAGTTCAAGGACAAGCCCATCCCATTCTCACAATGGACACGAGGAAAGCACTCGACAGAAGCCTCAGTATCCCTGAGGGGAGGGGGACAAGACAGTTAGCATGAATAAGTTACAGAAGGACTCAGCTGGTCCTTGGAGAAATGAGCAGTTTTGTGGGGAGGGGGACAGTAGGGACTACAGTGCTGCTTAGCAGCCAAGGTCATAGGAATCAAAAGGGAACTACCAAGTACCTGCTCCTCCCCAAGGCACCCACACCTCTGCCTCCCGTATATCCTTTGCCTAGGGAATAAAAGATATCCTGAGTCTACTCTAGTTTCTACCTGGAATTTGCTTACTGTCAGACCTCACCAAGGCCCATCAACCCGGAAGGTGGATACTGATTCTCACAGACCAAGCATCTCCTTCCTCTTCCACTGGCTTCCAGCATCAGCACCATGGACTTTTAAACATTCCCAGTAGTGAAGAGTTTTGTTCACAAAGAGCAGACAGGAAACCAAGTATATAGAAGTGACTGTAAAATAATAAGATATAGTGATGTTTTGCTTATGATCTAACAAATAAATCTTGCTCAAAGATCAGAGTACAAAGCTAGCCTCACTAGTCATTTATACTACCAGGCAGTGGTGTTACACACATTTAATCCCGGCAGCCACACTAGTTAGCCATAGAGCCGGGCAGTGGTGGCACACACCTTTAATACCAACACTAGAAAAAAAAAATATAAGGTGGAATGAGACAGGAACTCGCTCTCATTTCAATCTGAAGATTTCGTAGAGGTAAGAACTTTCAAGTGGTTGGTTGCTTTGCTTTTCTGATCTTCAGTTTGAATCCCAATATACGGGTTTTTATTATTCGTGCTTCAGTAACTCTACAAGTCACATATTGATGCCTTTCTTAGCTTCTTGAAGAATCTAGACATGCTTAGAGGATAGAGTAAGGTTATTAGAGAAAGTGTATGATTTCCATGGCAACTAAAGGAGTCCATGGTCCCTGAAGGGCTGGGATACTTGGTGCAGTTGATAGAGCATGAATGTCTGAGACGGATTTGGGGATCCAGCAATGGTTCTGTCACACATACATTTATGTGTTATTAGATGAGGTCAGGTGGCTTCTCAGAGCCCGAGTACCTCATTTGTAAAACACTGTAAATTACCATCACATCTTCCAGATTCTCTGCATGCCAGTGGTCATCAGAACCAGAAGCCTTGGCAGCATAGTGAGCACCTGCTGCTTCCTCAGCACTAGCGGGAGACTGGGGAACCTGGCCCATCTCCCTTTGGTATGTTCACAGGGGGGGAGGGCATGCATATTAAATAGATAAGATCATATGTAGATGAGGCAATTCACATGCAGATTTAGTGTGTACAAATGGGTCTTAAAATAGGATAGAACTCATATGATTAGAGATAGCTGTGTGAACATGTATGAGGGAAAGAGACTGTGTCTTTGCACACTCTACTACAACCTGTGGGTTGTGACCCCTTTGGCAAACATCTATGCCTTCAAATATTTATGATTCCCAGCAGTAGAAAAATTACAGTTATGAAGTGGAAATGAAAATAATGTTATGGCGGCGGGGTGATCACCACAGCGTGAAGAACCATATTAAAGGGCTCCAGCATTAGGAAGCTTGAGAACCATTGCTTTAGTAGATCAGATGAAGGTAAAGGTAGAAACTTGTGTTGACGTGTTGACAGGGTGACCTGAAACACACATTCATTCCAGGTTGGGAGCTGACATTCTAAGTATTGCTTATCAACAACTGGGCCAGCTGCTGCAAATGCATCAGAAGAAGAGCTGTGAGAACCCGAATTAAAGATGGCCCAGTTTGGAAGGGCATATACAAGGAGGCTAGGAGCTCATGAGTCACCCCACAGGGGTAATGGGCAGAAGGGCGTGCCAGGAGTCTTGGGGCTCATGAGACACCCTGTAGGGGTTATGGGCATTTGGGGGGCTGGGCGAAGTGGTATATGTGAAGCTGTATATGTAACAATCAATTCCTGAGTTCCACACAGGCGATTTCCTTCCCAGAGGCACCAAACCAGCCTCCAGGCAGCATGTAGACTCTCTACACTGTAAGGCCAGGATTATGGGACATAACCAGAGCCACTAGGGAGAGCTGCTGCATTTGTGTGTTTTGAGGACAGGGCCACATCTAGTCTTCTCAAGTACTCCCTTCCCCACTACCTGAGACTTCCCTGATTTTAGTATTAAGTCTTCCATTCCTGGAAATCCAAGGCATGGGTGAATGCAGATGAATGGCAGCACCCCCTCCCCCCGCAGATCTTATACATTTGTGGACAGGGAAGCCTCTTTAAGAAAAGGACTATACGGTAAGTATGAAATTACAGTTCTGGAAGAACAGGTGAGTGATCAAAGGGCCCGAAGTTTAAAGTTTCAATAGTTTTGTGACTATGTACCTAAATCGTAGAGAGTTTCAACTTGACAGCCAACACTAACCAGATATGACTCCAACCTCTGCCCCTCTTTGGATAGGTGAGTCTATGCAGTGGTTTGAATGACAATGGCCCCTAGAGGCTCCTAGAGAGTGGCATTAGTAGGAGGTATGGCCTTGTTGGAGTAGATGTGATCTGTGTGTCACTGGAGGTGGGCTTTGAGGTTTCAGAAGCTCAAGTCAGGCCAAGCGTCACTTGCTCTTCCTGCTGCCTGCCAATCAAGATGAGGAACTCTTGACTCCTTCTCTAGCACCATGTCTGTCTGCATGCCACCATGCTTCATGCCACGATGACAATGGATTAACTCTCTGAACTGTGAGCCAGCCCCACTGAAATGTTTTCCTTTATAAAAATCATTGTATGGCAATGTAATACATGAAAAACATGCCACATGTTATTATATTTTATAAAATATCTGCCTCTCATTTAATAAATAAGTTAAATAGCCACAGTTATAGAGCAACTTTATATAACAGCAAATCCATGTTTCTGTCAACCAGTGATAATAAATTCTGCTTTTTTTGTAAAAAAAAAAAAAGAGTTGCTGTGTTCATGGTGCCTCTTCACAGCAACAGAAGCCCATACTAAGAGAGCTTACGTAAGTTTTTTCTTGGTTTTAAAACTTTACTCTGTAAAGCATGAGCAATCACACCAGGAACACTGTGCAGGCTAAATGAGACACAAAGTTGAGAGTATGTACATACACACACACACACACACACACACACACACACAGCAGGCATGTGGCCTACACGTCTTCTTTGTTCCTCTCCAGTGCAAGTTGTTTGATAGAATGAACTGTGACAACAGAGAAGGCAGAGGCCAGAAGGAGCCTCTTAGGGAGGAGATGGTGGACAAGATGCGGGGAGAATCAGGTCTTCTCGGCACACCAGCATGACACCTGCTTCAGGAACCTTTAAGTCTGAGCAATCACCAGCAAGCCCGCCCGTCTTGCATACTCCGTGTAGGACCTGACTTTTCCCAAGCATCTCGAAAAGCTAAGATTCAGAAGTATCATTGGGATGCGCTGTGCCCACTCTCAGCCAAAGGCCCAGCAGAGTTCAGATGAAGCCCTTTGGTCAGACTTACCCAGAACTTGCTGCACTTCTCAGGTGTCCTGATTCAGCACCTCCCTGGTGCTCATCCTTGCCGAGAGTTGATCAGGGGGGCCTGGTCCAAGGGATATAGGTGCCCTGCTTGGGGTGGAGGGGTGGGGGATAGGGGTGGGTGGGTGTTGGATATGCTGAGAGCTCCAGGGAGCTTGCAGAGGGTCTCCTTTCTCGACCGACACAGACAGCATCCCGCGGGCAGCTTTGAAAGCAACCTCGTTTCAAGCCATCACTCAAGCTTTGCCTTACTCCTCATCCCACCTGACGAATGACCCACCACGGAGAAGGGTACGGGGGATATCTCTGCTCACACTCGAATGTTAGTGGAGAAGGAGGGTCCAAGTCAGGAACACTCGTGGGATTTTCTGCGTTCCAACTCCGTTCCGATAGAATCCCCTATACTCTCGCTCTTTTGGTCTAACTCAAAGCAAAGGGACCTGTTTGAACTGCCAAGGCGGTACTGCTTTTCATTGCCCGTTCTTTTCTCTCACCAACGCCGTCCTCTCTGCCCTGGAAGAGGCTGGGCTGTTTTTCTACTCACTGTTTTATGTTCATGAATGCTCTGATCAGAAATGTCT